TCCTCAGAACTGTTCTGAGGAAGGGTCACCGGACCCAAAACGTTAACTCTGTTTTTTCTTTCACAGATGCTGCCAGACCTGCTGAGCTTTTACAGCAAATTTTTGTTCCTGATTTACAGCATCCACAGTTCTTTTGGTTTTTATTTAGTATTTAACTCACTGCCACATCTCTTCCAGTCATGCCCACCTTGAAGTTCTGCTCCTCTCTCTGACGGGATGTCTGTTCCAATCTTTCTTTTTGCCCATCAACTTTAATTTCACTGTCACTCCTGGTGTTTGATCGAGTATTTGCTAAAACTCATTTCCACAGCTATATCACATTCCTCAGTGACCGCCTCTGGCTCAGACTTACCCCAAGTGGATTCCAACTGAAGTTACATCCCCCATGTTTTGAATCCTCCCAGGATCACAGATATCTCCGTGATGTTCAACATTCCATGGACAGCCACTCTCGCCACATCCTGAGATCCACACTCAGTGCCATGCGGCGTCACATGCCCACTCTCAACCTTTCTCTCCAACAGCATCGCAACACACTGGCTCAGGGCTGCACCACTCCGCAGTTCAACTTCATCCTCCGGCTCATTCGTCGTGCTAACAAGAAACTTCTTCTTTTCCTTTCAGGCATCAAGGCCGACAAGATGCAACAACTCAAAGATACCCATGGCCCCCTGGAACTATCCTCTCCTCCCCTTCCCTCTGACTCCATCCCCTTCCCCAATACCCCCACCGCCTGTCGGGTATTCACCATCCCTCCTTACCTTCCACTGTCCGATGCTGAACGTTCTGTACTTAGCAAAGGTGTCAGCTTTATTCCTCTGCGTCCCCATTTTAACAAATGTTGAGCACGACATGACACTGGACTCTTCTTCCGCCATCTTTGCCTCCGTGCTCATTTCTTTGGACAAGAATCCTCTCCCCATCCCACAGACCCTTTTGCCCAGCTCCAACACTCTGCCTCCATCTGGACCCCTCCCTCTGGCCTTTTACCTGCATTCGATCTGTTTTTTTTTGAGAACTGTTGAGCTGATATTAGTCGCCTCAATTTCTCTGCCCCCTCACCAAATCCAACCTATCTCTCTCTGAACTGACTGCACTCCGTGCACTCAGATCTAACCCTGACTGTGATATTAAGCCTACCGATAGGGTGGTGCTGTTGTAGTCTGGTGTACTAACCTCTACCTTGCAGAGGCTGAGTGCCAACTCTCCGATACCACCTCCTACCCTCCTTGGACTATGACCCCACTATGACACATCAGGCCGTTGTATTTACTACGGTAACTGATCTCATTTCAATCAGTGATCTCCCCCCACCCCCGCTCTCTGCTTCCAAGCTGACAGTCCCCCAGCCCCACACAGCTCGCTTCTACCTCCTCCCAAAAAGGACAAACAGGACTGTCCAGGCAGACCCATTGTTTCAGCCTACTCCTGCCCCCAGTTCTGAAGAAGGATGACCAGACCCAAAACGTTAACTATGATTTTTCCTTCACAGATGCTGCAAGACCTGCTGAGCTTTTCCAGCAACTTCGTTTTTGTTCCTGATTTGCAGCATTCACAGTTCTTTTGGTTTTTATTTTCATAGAACAGGGTGTTGTGCCATTGATGACATATCCACTGTCTGCCTGTGCGCCCTTTCCCTACATAATTTTACAAATGGCAAGGAAGGCATCAGATGCACCACATGCTTGTGGCCCAAAGAAGGCCCTTAAATTGGCAATTGCAAGCAATTTTGATACTTGAAATATTCGTCAAGATGGAGGAATTTAAGTGTTTCGTGATGTGTGTGTGTGTGTGTGTGTGTGTGTGTGTGTGTGTGTGTGTGTGTGAGAGAGACCAGGTGAATGGTTTTAGCTGGAATTACCCCATAATCAGAAAATTATCAGTGGTATTGAAGAGAGCTCACCCATTGGGTAAAAGGTACCCTCGGTATTGTACAGGTAGTGGGGTGAATGAATAGTCAGTGCACATTGTTAACTTGCCCCCTGCTCTACTCCCCTGGTAGTTTCAGGAGGGCAATAATCAAAGGACATCTGGGCAGCCAGCTGAACAAAGGAAAGCACTAGCTGTCAGTGGGGACACCACACATGAATTTTGGGCTTAGTAACGATGAGGACCAACACAATACCCTCAAAGAAAAAGGATGAAGGGCAGCGAGGCCATATGCACCAGATGGGACCTAGCACCAAAGGATGAGACACCTTGAGTGACTAAGTACCCACACTGCAGGAGACGGTAACTCTCTAAGCAGATGCTCACAGACATCAGTCCCCTAATTAATGAAGACTTTCACAGGGGATCTGGTCACCATATCCTGCCAACAACCATCAAAGTCACAGTGTCCTTGTACTACTTCACCTCTGACTCCTCCTAAAAATCAACTGTGGACATTGGTTACATCTCAAACAGTTGCATAATACTTTATATTGTAGGTTACGAGGATTGGAAAATAAATTAACTTACTGACAGATGAGGCCTCGCAGCCACACGGGGCAATGGGTCTTGCAACCAATGCAAAATTTCACCAGTGCAGGAGGTTATTGAGTGAAGTCATGTGGTCATCAAAAGTCCAAGTGAGGTAGCAATAAAAATCAACAGAAAGTGAATCTAGTCATTCAGTATTTAGTTTGTCTGCATCCACCGAAAGAACTTCCTCACATATGGACTTGCATTCCTGGCAGCTGTCTTGACTCATTCAACTTCCTGCAGCCCAGGATACCACAGATCTTAAATCCAGTCCCCAAATTGTGTGGATGGATCTCACAGGACAAGGGATATCATTGAGATGGCTATTAACATTTATACAACAAGCCAAGGCAGAGGCACCGAAGCAATGTGACTGAAGTTCTGTGCTCATTAGGGCAACCACTGAGCAGGCCTTCAGGCTTCTTAAGTTGAGGTTTGGTATCTGGGGGATTGTGTGGCAACCTCCAATAACCTCAAGCAAGGCATCAGTCTTTGTGGTGGCCTGCTGCACTCCCAATAATATTGTTTCCCAGAGAGAGGTGTGGATCTGAGGGCAGTGAGATCATCAGAGGAAGATCAGGAGATGGAAAAGGTAGAGAAAATGTAGGTGGAAGGGAAAGGTACAGAACATTGAGGTGCCTCAGATGCACAATGACATGGCCAAGTATAGTTTGAGGTGCAAATGTTTCATCAGGTTACCATGCATGTCAGGGATTATTTGACAGAACATTTAAAATAACTCCTACCAACCCAGGATAAAGGGCATGAGATGTAAGCCACTATCAGATACTGTGCTAACACACCAATTCAAGATATAGCTGTAACATCAAGATGTGCATTTGATTGGAACCCTTAACCTTACTATGTAAACCCATGATCTTCTTCATCACATTGTACTAATGTTTCTCTCATGCCTGTAATGACAGGAATCTCAGACCTGAGCACTGAAGTATCATTATCTATATAAAAATATTGGAACAGGAGTAGTCTATTCAGTCCTTCATTATCTCAGATTATGGCTGATTGTCTACTCAACACCATATTGCCAAATTATCCTTGTATCCTTTGATGTCATTAGTAACTAGAAATCTGTCCATCCCTGTTTTGAAATTACTTAATGACTGAACTTTCACAGCCATCTTGGAGAGAGAATTCCAAAGATTTACAACGCTCTAAGTGGAAAGATTCCTCCTCCTCTCAGTCCTAAATGGCTTGCCTTTTATTCTGAGACTGTGTCCACTGACTCTAGAAACCACAACCAGGGAAAATGTACTTTCTACATCTACTATGTTGAAATCTTTGAGAATGCTGTAGGTTTCCATGCAATTGCTGCTTGTTCTTCTAAACTGTAAAGAATACAGGCCCAGTCTCCTTAATTTCTGCTCAATGGACAGTCTCACCATCCCAGGAATCAATCTGGCAAACCTTGCTATACTTCCTCCAGTATATCCTTCCTTAGGCAAGGAGACCAGAATTACATCCACTGACAGTGCAGAGCTCCCTTAGTTCCACACTGAAATATCAGCCAAATTCTGAGGTAGTATATGAATCTGCAACCTTTTGACTCAAACAAAATGCTGCCAATTGAGCCAGAGGTTTAGTGGTAATTAGTAATCTTAACTGATCCTACAATGGACAAGGTTGGGGTTCAGGGAGGATGTTATTCACAGTGTAAACCAGATAGGCAACACCCAAAATTATCACTTTAATATGCAGGTCTTTCACAAGGTGACAAGGAGTGAGTTCCTTGGACATATAACTACTAGAAAATTGCAGAAACTGGTTAGTTTCAATAAGCAGTTTTTTCTTTCTCTAAATAGCTTGGATGGAGTAGACTGCTGAAAAAATTGGCAAGAAATTACACTAAAAATATAACCTATAAATTACCATGTGTTGTTTTAGCACACAAATAACACATTCATGGGCAATCAATTATCAAACTGTCCATTATTACAGGAAGAATTTACATACTCCTCTCTTCTGTTGATGATCACAGGAGTCACAAGACCCTTGCTGTGTTTTTGTCAAAATAATGCAAGCAAGAAGGGTAGGCAATAAAATTAGTTTTCTGCTCTCACTAAATATTTAATACTTCCAAAATTTATTTGAATCTGTTCGGTTCCAATATTAAATTCAGTTCAGATCTCATTCCTGCTTCCAATTACTTAGCACAATCTGGCATGGATCTGTGCTTCATTAACGCACAGAAATTATCTCTGTTCTTGAATTATAAATCATAATGGCAGTGTTAGCTGTATAAAAGTCGAGATATCTGTAACTATAGTTAAATTTGTTGGCAAGTCAGTAATTTTAAACCATCTTCATTGACAAGCAAATTTATTTATTTGCTTAAGCACATTGAACTCTATGGATTTTGGATATTTACCCTGGCTTTTAAACCATGCTCACCCCTTTTCCTTTATCATTCTCCATTCCATTTTTAATAGTATCCTAATCATCATGCACTATTTCTGACCCAGACAGCAGAAAATTAATCTATTCTCATACTTTTATGTTGCAATTGAACCAGCTGTCTGGTAATGTTGTAGAGCAATACAAGCTGTTTCTACCTGAAATTGAGCTCAACACGAGCCTAGAAATGTAATTATATCCAGAATAAGGCATGATCCCGGTACAGCACATAGCACACAGGTTTAATGAAAGATGAGGAGGAATTTCTTCTCTTAGGAGGTCATGAATCTGTGGAAGTTTTTTCTGTAGAGGGCAGTAAAGTTTGGGTTGTTAAATATATTCAAGGCTTAGATGAAAAGAGTTTTAATCAGTAAAGGAGTCCACGGTTATGGTTTTAGATGGCAATGGTCGCAGATTTGGAGGGTGCAGTTGAATGGGCCTTGGTGAATTCCTGCAGTGCATTCTGTAGATGGTGCACTGCTGGTCCTGAGTGTCAGTGGTGGAGTTAGTGAATATTTGTGGAAAATATTTGGCCAGTTGGATTATTCTTTGCATAAATCACTGTATAAAGTCTTAATCAATTTTTGTTGTCATTTTTTGGTAAATTTAATCTGGGTAAGAGACTTTTAACTGATTAAATTCTCAATCTGTTTTTAAGGGCAAACCAGGAATTGATGGACAGGATGGAGAGCAAGGCCTTGAAGGATTCTGTGGAGAACCGGGTGATCCAGGATTGCAAGGACCGAAAGGTCTGCTTAATGAAAATGATTTTAATGTTTGCACTTTTTAACTGCACTTTTTATCTGTGCTTGATAGTCGAGCCTTTGTGTCATTTTGCTTGGTTTTCATTAGTTGATCTTTTTTTGTTTTCTTTCTTCTAGTCATTGACTTTGTTCATCAATCATATTGTGCAAAACCTTTTTCCATTCACCCTGCAGCATTTCAGTTTTCTCTTCAGTCACATTGGAGCAGTAGCTATCAGCAGTCAATAGTTATAATGTGAGGTTAAGTGGAACACTCCTTTTCTCCTAAATCCACAATCAGATAAGCCTCTCAGGCAGCATACAAAACTAGTTTTTAAATGCACTTGGCTGAACCAGGACCCTGGCATTATTGCAGAAGGAACTAAAATATATGTTAAACTCTCAATTTGCTTATGCAAAGGCTTTTTTTGGCCTAAAATTGCAGGGTTCCCTATTGATTATTCTGATCAGGTGTTTTCTGCCTGCCATGCTGAAGGCTTAAGGACCTGATTAGTGCCTAAAAATGGACACTGTGCCATCACATGTAGAAGCTATTATGCAATAATTATGCACTCATCAAACAAACTTTGTGCAGCAAGAATTTTGAGAAATGACACCTTTACAGTAATTTTTACCCCACCAAGATAAAGCACCCAAGTGAGAGTCCTGGGTGTTATTTTACTATTCTGTTGTTCTGTCAGACTTGCTCAATATCTTCATTTTGGGAAGTCTGATGTTGGAAATCAGATAAAACCAGAAAAATTGGAAATATTCAGTGAATCTGGCAGCATCTATGGAGAAAGTAACAGAGTCAACATCTCAAATCATGATGAAAGTTCATAAAAGACCTGAAACATTCTCTTTGTCTCTCAATAATGCAGACCTGCTGACTATTTCCAGCACTTACTGTTTAGGTCTTCAATGCAGGGGAGAAGGATTCACATTTTTGGATCATTGGAATCTGTGCAGGGGTAGAAGAGACCTGTATAAGAAGGGTGGATTGCACCTGAATTGGAAGAGGACTAAAATACAGGGAGATTTTTTTAGAGCTGCTCAGGAGGTTGGGGTGATGGGGAGGGTGGATGGGTGGGTAGAGGTAGAGGTGGGCACCCAGGGAGATAGTGAGGAAAGAGATCATTCTGAGACTGGTACAGTTGAGAAAAGGAGCAAGTCAAACAGTCAGGACAGGCAGGAACAAAGCAGAGATTGATAAATTAAACTGCATTTATTTCAATGCAACCAGCCTAACAGGTAAGGCAGATGAACTGAAGGCATGGTTGGGAACATGGGACTGGGATATCATAGCAATTACAGAGACATAGCTCAGGGACGGATAGGACTGGCAGCTTAAAGTTCCAGGGTATGAATGCTATAGAAAGGATAGAAAGGGGGGGTGGGGGGTGGGGCGAGGGGGACAAGAGGAAAGGGAATGCCGTTTTTGATTACAGATAACAGTATGGTTGTATTTAGGGAGGATATTCCTGGAAATATGTCCAGGGAAATTATTTGAGTGGAACTGAGAAATGAGAAAGGAATGATCACCTTATTGGGATTACACTATAGACCCCACCTTGGTCAGCGGGAACTTGAGAAACAAATTTGTTAGAAGATCTCAGTTATCTGTGAGAATAATAGGGTGGTAATGGTAGGGGATTTTAACTTTCCAAACAAAGACTGGGACTGCCATAATGTTAAGGGCTTCGATAGAGAGAAGTTTGTTAAGAGTGTACAAGAAAATTTTCTGATTCAATATGTGGATGCATCTACTGGAGAAGGTGCCAAACTTGACCTACTCTTGGGAAATAAGGCAGGGCAGGTGACTGAGGTGTCAGTGGGGGAGCACTTTGGGGCCAGTGACCATAATTTTATTAGTCTTAAAATATTGATGGCAAAGGTTAGACCAGATCTAAAAGTTAAAGTTCTAAATTGTAGGAAGGCCAATTTTGATGGTATTAGGCAAGAACTTTCAAATGTTGATTGGGGCAGATATTTGCAGGTAAAAGGTTGGCTGGAAAATGGGAAGCCTTCAAAAATGAGATAAGAGTCCAGAGACAGTATTTCCTGTTAAGGTGACGGGCAAGTCTGGTAGGTGTGGAGATTGCTGGATGACGAGAGAAATTGAGGTTTTTGTCAAGAATAAGAAGGAAGCATATATCAGGTATAGACAGCAGAAATTGAGTGAATCCCTAGAAGAGTTATAAATGCAGTAGAAGTATACTTAAGAGGGAAATCAGAAAGTCAAAAAGGGGACATGAGATATCTTTGGCAAATACGGTTAAGGAGAATTCCAAAGGGATTCTACAAATACATTAAGGACAAAAGGGTAACTAGGGAGAGAATAGAGCACCTTAAAGATCAGCGAGGCCACCTGTGCATGGAACTGCAAGAGATAGGGGATATACTAAATGAGTATTTTGCATCAGTGTTTATTGTGGAGAAGGATATGGAAGATATAGAATGTGGGGAAGTAAATAGTGACATCTTGAAAAATGTCCACATTACAGAGGAGAAGGTGCTGCATGGCTTAAAATGCATAAAGGTGGATAAATCCTCGGGACCTGATTAGGTATACCTTAGAACTCTGTGGGAAGCTAGGGAAGTGATTGCTGGGACCTTTGCTGACATATTTGTAACATCGATAGCCATAGGTGAGGAAGATTGAAGGTTGGTTAACGAGGTGCCATTATTTAAGAAAGGTGGTAAGGAAAAGCCAGAGAACTATAGACCAGTGACCCGACCTTGGTGGTGGGCAGGTTGTTGGAGGAAATCCTGACGGACAAGATTTACATGTATTTAGAAAGGCAAGGACTGATTGGGGATAGCCAACATGGCTTTGTGCATGGGAATTCATGTCTTACTAACTTAATTGAGTTTTTTGAAGAAGTAATGAAGACGATTGATGAGTTCAGAGCGGTGCACGTGATCTATATGGACTTCAGTAAGGTGTTCGACAAGGTTCCTCATGGTAGACTGGTTAACAAGGTTAGATCATATGGAATACAGGGAGAACTGGCCATTTAGATACAGAACTGGCTTGAAGGTAGAAGACAGAGGGTGATTGTGGAGGATTAACTTTTCAGACTGGAAGCCTGTGACCAGCGGTGTGCCAGAAGGAATGGTGCTGGGTCCACTGCTTTTCATCATTTATATAAATGATTAAATGTGAACGTTAAAGTATGGTTAGTAAGTTTGCAGATGACACCAAAATTGGAGGTGTAGTGGACAACGAAGAAGGTTACCTCCGAATAAAATGGGATCTTGATTACATGGGCCAATGGGCTGAGGAGTGGCAGATGGAGTTTAATTTAGATAAATATGAGGTGCTGCATTTTGGAAATGCAAATCAGAGCGGGACTTATACATTTAATGATAAGGTCCCAGGGAATGTTACTGAACAAAGAGACCTTGGCCTGCAGGTTCATAGTTCCTTGAAAGTGGACTCACAGGTGGACAGGATAATGAAGAAGGTGTTTGATATACTTGCCTTAATTGGTCAGTGCATTGAGTTCAGGAGTTGGGAGATCATGTTGCCTCTGTCCAGGACATTGTTTAGGCCACTTTTGGAATACTGTGTGCAAGTCTGATCTCCCTGCTGTAGGAAAGAAATTGTGAAACTTGAAAGGGTTCAGAAAAGATTTGCAAGGATGTTACCAGGGTTGAAGGGTTTGAGCTATAGGGAGAGGCTGAATTGGCTTGGACAAGTTTCCGTGGAATGTCAGAGGCTGAGTGGTGACCTTATAGAGGTTATAAAATAATGGGGGGCTCGGATGGGTGAATAGCCAAAGTCTTTTCCCTAGGATAATGGAGGCCAAAACTAACGGACATAGGTTTAAGGTGAGAGGGGAAAGTTTTCAAAGGGACCTAAGCAGCAACCTTTTCACACAGAGGGTGGTGAGTGTATGGAAATGAGCTACCAGAGGAAGTGGCATAATTCCAACATTTCAAAGGTATCTGGAGGGTATATGAATAGGAAGGGTTTAGAGGGTTCTAGGCTAAATGCTGGAAAATGGGACTAGATTTATTTAGGATATCTAGTTAGCATGGGCAAGTTGGACCGAAGGGTGTTTTTTCCGTGCTGTACATCTCTATGACTCAATAAACCTATCCCAGCGAGCTTTGCAACATCAGTGTTAGATAAGGAGCTGAAGAAAGAGTTGGGGTGCATATATTTTGAGAATGCTATGAACCAATCCCACATTACTGCCAGAATTACCTTAGTGTTTCCACTAATCTGTAGGAGTGCGTTCATGAATGGCAAGCCTCAGTAATTAGATGTTTTCAAGCTTAATAAGCTCCAGGAAATAGTAGAACTTAGCCTGCAAAGCTTCTGCTTTTGTATTTCTGAGAGCTCTGCCACAGCTATTAAAACTCCTGGTTTTAGACACAGCGCAGTCTCTACGGTAGAATGCAGGAATGTCAAGCCAAGCGTAAGTGCCACAAACATGGCGATCCCCGATGTATGAACATCTGACTTGCAACTACTTGTACTTACAAACGCAATCCCGTGCTAGGGTATATTAGTATTAATTTTGAAGATTGATACATGAGCATTTCGTCATATTTACAAATGGATATTTTGTATTGTTTAGTTTCGACTGGCATACAAACTGACTTGTGAATCGACTCAAGACCGAACCCATTCACAACCCAGGGATACCATTAACTTCTAAGTATACTTTTCATGCTCCTTAATATGTTACAAAGCCCACCTGAACAGGATGGCAACAGCATCTAACAGTTTGCATAATGTACCTAGTACTTGTCAATTGAAAGCTGATCAGAAGGCTAGGATATGAGTGTTTTGAGGTGTCCTCTCCTCCAGCTTTGCTTTTCCATACTTGTACTTTATACAGTACATCACCACTTGTAATTTATAAAATGCCAAATACTGAGCAGGTGCTTGGAAGCATTAGAGTGAAGGACAGTATCTCTTCAGCTACAGTATTCTCCTAAACTGCCAATGAGCACAAGACCTACAACTTGAAAATCAGAGAAAATGGTTGATA